TCTGGCTTTTCCTCACAAATCCAGAGGAGGAGCCTGGGAAGAGTGGGATTTGCAGCCTCAAGAGGATGGAGGGAATGTCCCACTGTCAGAATGTCCCTGCCAGCCGGGGCCAGACTCTGCTCAGGGCCTGCAAAGGGGAAATGCAATGCTCATTCCAGAATGACTCTGATGTGCCCAGGGATGCCCTTCCCGAGGTGCAGAGTTCAGGATTTGCCCTTTAAGGAGGGGGGTGTGTGGGCAGATGACCCTGTGTGACCTGACCATCACTGCCAGGTCTGGCCACAGCTCAGCTGAGCCCCGGCTGCTGCCCAACCCCAGCCCCGAGGCTGACACCACCTCTTTGTTCAGGCAAAGCAGCTTCCCTCTCCCTCTGAGAGCAGTGGACAGAACTAATCCTGGGAGCAGCCTGACTGCATTTTCAATCAACTTGACCTCCCACAGCCCACCCTTAAGCTGCTCCTGTCTCAGCACTCTTTTCAGCCCAGTTTAGCTGAGAGCAGGTCAGTGAGTCTCAGTGGTGGTTTGTGACTTGGGCACTGAAATGTGGGGCCACAGCTCAGGAATTAGAGATTTCCCCAACACCAGGTATTTTCAGTCCTGTTAATGTAGGTCAGGAAACTCTGGGTGGCTGATGAAAGAAGGTAAATTCTGCTCTGGGTAATGTGCATGAAGGTGGTGATGTCAAGAATTCCTTACTCTTAGTGCTTACAACTCTCGTCAAGCTTGTGTAAGTGCAATTAAAAATCAAATGGACTGGCAGACAGTCTGGTCTCTTGGGAAGTTCTTATGATGAGGAGCTAAAAGTTGATTTCCTGATAATCCCAAGTTAATGTGCTGGCCTAATACGTGACTGGAGGCAGAGCAGACTCTGCCTGAGAGGCAGCACACGAACAAGTTCCCGCTTGGGTCACGCTGCACCTGTCCCTAATTCCAGAGCCTGTGCTACAAGAGGAGTGACAGATTTTCCACAAAGTGACTGATTTTTTTCCCATCTCCAGGAGTATCCACTGGAGCTGGGGCTGCTGTGTACCTACTCTGCAAACCTTGCCCCATGGGCAAAGCCTAGATGACATCAGGGACCCAGGGCTGAAGTGATGCAGTAAGAAACCAGCAATGAAGATTTAATAAAAGGGTAAGCAGGTTTATTGTATACTTTCACTAAGCTTTGCTGAATCTTTTCAAGTCCTGCTCTAAAACCCAGGAAAGACCCACTCAAGGAACTGCTGGTGTTGGGCAAAGCATCCCCCCTGTCCTGTGCAGGTTATTTTGGGCTCTGCTCCAGTATGGCATCACTGGCTCCATAGGCAAATGGTCCATGTGGCTTTAACCTGAATATCATGGGCTGATCAGCTTCTTTGTTATTTTAGATTACATGCTTGGCAAAGCCTGAAAATAATTGGAGACTATCTGGAAAAATAAAAATAGAAATTTGAAATGTGGCAGCAGTAGCTTCCCAAGTGCAGCACTGAGACAGGAACCTATGAGCCAAATGCTCCCACTGAAAGAGAAAATAAATTAACTGAGGATGAAGCACTATTTTGCACGTACACAGTGATTTGGCACAAGGAAAAAGAAAAGTCATGCGATGCAATGAAACCACTCAGAATTCAAAAGTTCACCTGTTTTTTGGCCTCCCAAGAGCAATTCCCTCTCCCCAGGGTACCTGCGCACCTTGAGATGTTCCTCTCCAGCCCTCACAGCTCCAAGTCATCCCACAACAGATCCTAAGGGCCTCACTCACAAATTGGCTGGGCAATGTCACCATCACCATCCTTTCTCCTCTCTGGCTCCAGCCAAATCCTCTCCAGTTTCCATCAGCTCCTGCAAGGTCTCAGCCTGTCCACAACATTTGTGGCCATCAGGAATATTTTATTATACTCCACCCCATCAAAAAACCATCATGATGCTGAGCTCAATGCAAAGCCCCAGCCGCACTGACAGGGTTAAATTAAAGGTACCCATGATATTAGAGAGCTGCAAAGTAATTATGAAAGGAAGCAGAAAAAAGCCAGCAACTCTAAGCAGACATGAAGGCCCTCTTAAGAGAAGAAAGGCATGTTAATTAACCTCCAGACATGATTCAAAGCATCATTTGTAGCGTGATTAACATAATCCCCCAAGTGCACACACAACTGGCATTAAGGATCATTTGCAGGACTGAATGCTCCTCCACCCCTTCAACAAATCGGCACATTGGAGCAGGGACCAGCACCGAGCCTGCACGCTGCGGGAAACTAAAGGAGCAATGTTCCCCAGGGATGGACATCCTGGCTGTGGGTGGGCATCCTCCCTAGGTATGCTCAGCATCCCCAGGTCTGCTCAGCATCCTCCCTAGGTGTGCTCAGCATCCTCCCCAGGTATGCTCAGCATCCTCCCCAGGTGTGCTCAGCATCCCCCTCAGGTGTGCTCAGCATCCTCCCCAGGTGTGCTCAGCATCCCCAGGTCTGCTCAGCATCCTCCCTAGGTGTGCTCAGCATCCTCCCCAGGTATGCTCAGCATCCTCCCCAGGTCTGCTCAGCATCCCCAGGTCTGCTCAGCATCCTCCCCAGGTGTGCTCAGCATCCCCAGGTATGCTCAGCATCCTCCCCAGGTCTGCTCAGCATCCCCAGGTCTGCTCAGCATCCTCCCCAGATGTGCTCAGCATCTTCCCCAGGTGTGCTCAGCATCCTCCCTAGGTATGCTCAGCATCCTCCCTAGGTATGCTCAGCATCCCCAGGTGTGCTCAGCATCCTCCCCAGGTCTGCTCAGCATCCCCAGGTGTGCCACCAGCTCCACTCTAGAAAAGCTCCTGAGCCCACGTCAGCTTTAGCTCCCTTTGCCCCCGGCAGCCCCAGCTCCCACCCTCCTGCCAGCAAACTCCACTTGAGCAAGTGCTGCAGGCTCTTTTCAGGAGCTCCCAGATTCCTGTCCACGTTCGGCTTTCATTTAAAGAGAAAGCTGCCCATCAGATCGCTGGAAAGATTGGAAATGAACGTCACGACTCTGAAAGCAAAGAAAAAAGAGCCACGATTTCCCCATCTCTCCAAAACGGAGAGAAATCTCCTGCTTGAACTCGTGCGTTCCCAGCACTCGGCTCCCCCCGTGCTGAGCAGCAAGGCGTGCGGGCTCGGAGGCTGCTCATGCAAGAAAGCCAAAGCTGTCGCCTGCCTCAGCAAAGCTATCAGGACTATTTTATTATATTCCAGCCCATCAAATAACTGTCACAACAGGTATTCTCCCCCTCATCGTGGCGGAAAGCTGGTAAGGGAGCACTCTCCTCTGAAAGAGTCTGCACTGGTTGTTCGTTAATTATTTGGGTAGTATTAATAAAGGTGACACGGACATGTCACCAAAATGCCCTGCAAATTCCCCTCAGTGCTGTGATTATTCATCTCTTCCTCAGCCCAAGCTCAGGAACGCAGAGACTTTGTGCTGCATTATATTTGGGATCTCAGTGTTTCCAGAGGCTGAAGCTCGTTCAAAGGAGTCACTGCTGAGCTTTGTTCTTATCTTTAAAGTTTGTTATTACTTGGAAGTGTTTATCTGCATCACATTTGCAAAAACATCTGAACAAAAGCCAGCTCATGGAAACAAGAGCATTTTTGCACCTTTTTATATAAATAGGAAGGAGTTTATACAGCTGGTTCTTTTCTTTGCAATTCACAATATTTGTCTCTAACGCAAATTTTAAGGACCGTGATGAGATTTAAGCAATCACACGCAGACCTGGTGTCCTGGGAGAGATAACAGCGCAGCTCCATGGCAGGCTGAGAAACACAGCTGCTGACACCCTTTGTGCCCGGCACAGCCACGACCTCCCGGGGATGCAGCCCCGGTTTGGGGATGCTGCCACACTGTGACCTGGAGCGAGTCCAGGCTCGTGTGTTCCGAGCAGAGGCAGGGATTTCACACTCACAGCCTCGGGGTAAGCTAAGAATGAAGGGAGAGGAGGGAGAAAGGACAGGGGCAAGCGGGCGGTGGGATACCGGGGCCGGGCTTTGTGCGGTCCCTGCACACACCCAGTGTGACGGGCGGCTCTTTGTCACCCCGGGACACCACAGCAACCCCCGGGCCCCAGGGGTCTGCGCCCCCTTCATTCCCAAAACCTGGCAAGGGCATCACCCCGGGTGGCCGGGCAGGGGGACAGCCACGGTCCTCCACATCCAGGCTCGATTTCTGGATCCACGTGTCCCAGGAAGAGCGGTTCCAGCCACCTCCCTGCTCCCTCCTGCACAACAAACTCAGCCGGCCAGTGATGCTCAGAGCCCCGCTGGGGAGCACAGAAACCGCTCCAGCTTCCTGCTGTGTCCCTCCCGCACACCCTGCAGGAGCCAGCCCGAGCAGGCCGGAGGGATTTGGGGCCCCGGCAGGGCAGGGTGCCCGGTCAGCACCGCGGCCACGCTGGGGCTCCACTGACCACACTGGCACAGAGGTTTCATTCAGCACCCCAAGAACAGCCAAGCATCCCACAGAGGGATGTGACCACCACAGGGACCACGGGATACCCAAGGGGTGCTGAGGAGATGCTCAGAGGCAAGAAGGGTGGGACGCAGAGGATGAAAGGGATGCTGGAGAGAGCACGAGGAGATGCAGAGGATGCTCGAGGGCAGGACGGGGGATGCAGGAGATGCCTGGGTTGCTCTGGGCAGGAGAGGGATGCTGGAGCAGGGCTAGAAGACAGGACAAGGGGCGCTGGGGTGGTGACAGGGGGACCTTAGGGACGTGAGGAAGACACCGAGATGCTGGAGAGCCTGGAGTAGGTCTGGGGGGGATGCGAGGAGATGATGGGGGACGCCGGGGAGCTCGAAGCAGGCGGGGGAGATGCCGGGGAGGTGACGGGATGTGCCGGGAAGGTGATGAGGGATGCCGGAGAGCCAGAAGCAGACATGGGTGATGTCGGGGAGGTGATGGCAGATGCCGAGGAGTCCAGGGAAGGGCAGGAGGGATGTCGGGAGGCTGACGGGGGATGCCGGGGAGCCCGGGGGAGGCGGTGGAGGGTGCCGCGGCGGGAAGGCGCTCACCTGCCAGGAACCGGAGGGGATGTCTCCGAAGCCGCCGGGGC